GGTGGAAGTCTAGTAGCTTCTTCAAACTATCGCCAGTCATGAAAAGATCCGGTCAAATGACACGAGTTTAGATCTATGAACAAGGCACGAAATGGAAAAGAATCGGCGACAGGCCACATCAGGCCTACACTTCAGAGCCGACATCACTATGTTATGTTATGTTATGTTATTAGCAGTTAAATCTTTTCATAATCATCATCCGGTAATTGACTAATATTCGACAATAATGGTCAACGGTATTCAATGAATGGACGAATTAAACGAAAAGTTTTCCAGTCTTGGCAACAGTAATATACTTTTCAACAGAGATCTTTTACCGTTTGTGATTCATTACCACAGCTGTGTTTATTGATGCGTGTTAGACGCAATTGTCTTGCAAGTTATCTAACTTAATGTGCGCGGAATATATTAAATAGTGCAAGCACTTCTACAAACATCAAGTTTTGTGCGGTACTGCAACGCAATCTTTGCGCGACAGGCGCTCTGTGCGAGCCTCAGCTCGGGTGACGGTGTGGTTAAGATCGCCAAATATGGAGCGGTTAGTTGGAGGTTCGAGGCCAGCAACTATTTGTAAAAATTCTGGCCGAAATCGGAAATATGGTGGCCAGCAAGTCTGGGGCATTATTATCAAAACTCACTCAAGTACATTCACATAGCGACCTAACTACATGTAACGGTCTAAGTGAACGTAGCGACCATTTCTCGTCCGTGATTGATGATTTCCGCTTGAGAAGCCGTCAGTGATTGGCTGACGGAGTTACAAATGCTGACACCGCACCATCAATAACATCACCAAAAATAACGATCGAGGTCGAAGTTGTACAGCAAATTCAACTTGATTTGAGAGTTGAGATAAAATGTATGCATTTAACAACACAAGATTTAATTTTTATTGACTATGGTGCGTTAAAATAACGAGTTTAAGAAAGTAAACTGAGTGAATCAAACCACGCGTTTTATGCTCACAATGAAACTAGGACGAAAAATTCTATGAATGTAAACATGAAAAACTCTATTATTTCGTGCTTGAAAAAGTGCCGACTTCTGGCACCTAATAGGCTTAGCATTAACAGCCTAAATCGCTGACAGGGTTAGGGTTAACTACCTAAATAGTCGGCAGGGTTATGATTATCAGCCTAAATTGTTGACAGGATTAGGGTTAACAGCCTAAACAGTCGGCAGGGTTAGGGTTAACAGCCTAAACAGTCGGCAGGGTTAGGGTTAACAGTCTAAACAGTCGGCAGGGTTAGGGTTAACAGCCTAAATTGTTGACAGGGTTATTGTTAACAGCCTAAATTGATGGCAGAGTTAGGGTTAACTGCCTAAATTCTTGACAGGGTTAGGGTTAACAGCCTAAATAGTTAACAGGGTTAGGGTTAACACTTTTCATACACTCAAACTCTGAGTGATCTACACGACACTTAAACATAGGCAATCTAGCTCAGAATACATAACATGAAACATTTCTCTTCAGTGAAATTATTGCGCTCAGATCGATTGTAGTTGCACTCCCTCATTATTACATATCAAGAACAGCGAGTGAAGTTAATGCATTTACACAATGTTTATACAGCAGAATTTATTCTCGAACGCTAAAGTATATCAGATTCGAGTAGCGTTCTTCCGTTCCGATTTAAAAACATTTTTAGTTATTTATAATTGCTTATAATACATTCAAATGTTGTTGTAGAATTTTTGTTCCCGTTTACGTTTAATAACAGAAGTTACAGAGGTTAGTTTTCTTTCATGATGTCAAGATTAGCATATGACTCATTACAATTCGTTGTCATTGAATTTTCGACTCAGGAAGTTCGAAGTTGAAAAGTAATAAAACGTTTCTTGTAGTTAATTTTATTTTTTTACATTTGTTGAATTGTAAATTTTTGTAGGTTCATCGTTCAACCGAATTTCCACTCATTTTAATCAGAACTTTATTTATCAGTTTGCATCCCATTCACTCGGCTGTAAATTCGGTACCGGTTAAATTGCCTCGGAATCAAGGTTTTATGTCCGTAACCGTGCAATACTAATAATATTGACGGTTAACACCAATTAAAAGAAGAAGAAGACCATTGGATGCGGTTTCAAAGCTCCTGTAAAACACCAATTAAAAGAAGAAAAAGACAATTGGATGCGTTTTCAAAGCTCCTTTAAAACACCAATTAAAAGAAGAAGACCAATGAATGCGTTTTCAAAGCTCCTTTAAAACACCAATTAAAAGAAGAAGAAAACCAGAATTTGAGTTACCACTTGGCGGGCATCTGGCACACGAAGTTGTACTTGTCTCCGCCCCCCTTATTGGCGAGCATGAAGTTCATGTCGCTGTTCATGATGGTGCTGAAGGATAACACCCCAGATGGCTCTCCCGGGGCCCAGGATCCTGTCACCGGAGTTTTTTGTTGCCACAGCCAACCACCGATGAGGTACCATGTCGCCTCCACCCAGTGGTGGCCGGGCTTCGGTTCTGTATGGCAGGAAATTAACGAAAAATTTATTTTCATTTTATTTATTTTTTATATAGTTTTTTATTTATTTTCAAGAAAATTTATTTTTCGTTCTCTGACGGGAACAACCGTTACCAAGCATTTAGGTACGAATATCACTGATGACAGATAACCTATCGGTAGACAAAACATTATGTAATCGTCTAATGATGTTAACTCTCATTACCTGGCTTTTAAGTATGACTAATATATTGTACTAACGATGGTTAGTGAATTAGTAGGAAAATGGCATATTTGTTGCGGATTTCTTTGTGAACCCTGATGTTTTGTCGTTCTTTCCGTGATATTCAAAATTATCCAGACAATTACATTATTTACCGTAAATCAATTGAACATTAAACAGTATAAAAAATAAGTTAATTGGAAAAAATGCCATTTATTTTAAACTAAATCCATTTACATGATATATTACTGTTTATGAATGCGAAAAGTCACTACTTCAAATCTGATTTATTTGCTCCTGAATATTTTTATATAGTCTAAGTAACATCAAGAAACATTATGCCTTTGTTCGATGCTAAGTCTAAGTAACTTCAAGAAACATTATGCCTTTGTTCGATGCTAAGTCTAAGTAACTTCAAGAAACATTCCGACTGTGTTCGATGTTAAGTCTAAGTAACATCAAGAAACATCATGCCTTTGTTCGATGTTAAGTCTAAGTAACTTCAAGAAACATTATGCGTAATTATTGAGTCAAAGTCCTGGCAACGACCCTAAGCAACGAAGACTCGAACTTTTCTTATTGCGTGCCGGTGCGCAATACAATTTTACGAACGACTTGCCGTGCATCGATGTGGCCGTTCGTTCACTTCGTTAGTAGAATTAATTTACATGCACAGACTACAAGCACGAATGAAATATCGCACCAATTTACATACTGAAGAAACACTTATATACATGGATATACTTGAAGCACGAAAGAAAACACAAGAACAGAAAGAAAGAAACGAAACAGAAAGAAAGAAACGAAAAAGAAAGACAGAAACAAAACAGAAAGAATGAAACGAAGCACGAAAGAAAACACAAGAACAGCAAGAAAGAAACGAAACAGAAAGAAAGAAACGAAAAAAAAGACAGAAACAAAACAGAAAGAATGAAACGAAGCACGAAAGAAAACTAATATTTTTCTTCACGTCAGTGATAGATTTTTTAAGCCAAGAGTATATTTTTTTCAAGTTATGGATATGATTTTTGAGTTGTTAATAAATGAATGAATGTTATATTTTTTATTACATTTTTCTTATTTTTAACTGTAAAGTGTTGTTTTATCATTTTTAAACGAAAAATATGCAATTGTGGTAAAGGGACCAAGGGTGGGCGCCTTGCCCCAAGCCCATGGGCCCATTGCCCCAAGGGTGGGGCAATAGGCCCATTTTGACACTTTTTACAAAATAGTGTTTCATTAAAAATTGAATAACTCTATAGGCGTCTAATTCACATCATACATTCCTCATTAGTTGCACCTTTAAACAAAACAAAGAACCACCTCGTATCAATTAAAACTTCGTCAAAATTTTAGTTTAAAAAAAGTGGGGGGCGCGCTGCCCCACGTTACCCTACGTATAGGGAGAAACAGACAATTGCGCGTATTTTTGATGCACGGTGAATAACCTACCCGCGCACAATAGAAACACTAACTTGCATTGAAGTGCACGTTCTCAATCACTGCACTGAGACGACGCACAAATGCACGTGGTGCACACTGCACATTTGGCTTAAGTTGGTTTAGCTAATTGCAGTCAAAACCTCCACTAACATTCCATCATCCGAGATTGGAAGCTTCACTCGATCTTCGTTCACCGTAAAAAATGCAGGTAAGAATAACATTATGAAAGTTCGGATAAATTCCACACAATCATTAAAATGAAACCCCACCTGCACTTTTTTCTAATGTAAATCATTTCCCTCAAATTAACTAACTATGACAAGCTTATTATTTCGATGACTTTAGCTTGATGGTCAACAGTTGAATGAATTTACCATCTGTAATTTTAATAAATGTAGTTTCGTTATGGGTAATCTACATCGAGTCTCTTTCATGCCATATCGCAACTTGCGTGAAATATTAAAGATAATTTCGGCACAGTAATGAAGCAGCAAGTTCAGGTGAATATCAAGAGCACGATTTCGTGCTGGTAAAACTTGAAGGTAAATCAAAGTCGTTTTATTTAAATCGTCGCCGGCCATTGATCACTTCAACTGCACACTCCATTAACGCGTGTGCTGCGTGCCCACGCTGTGTTCTGTAATGTTCTGTTACAATATCTCTATCTAGTGTTACATTTGTACTAACAACATTTGTAATTTTCTACTACTAACATTTGTAATTTTCTGTAATATTCATTTACAATATTTCTAACATGGGTAATATTCTTTCACATTAAAACAAATATTTGTAATATTTTTCAAAGCCTTCAAAGAGAGAAATGCCAGAGGCATGCATGATTGATTTGCATGCATTGTGATGGCGACCCAAAGCACCTAGGCACTTCAACTGCCAGTGGGCAATGTGAAGGAAAGTCCAGCTTATGATGACTTGACACTGTAGCAGCAGATACACAGAGCTAAACTGCACCAGCAGATACACTGAGCTACACTGTAACAGCAGATACACTGAGCTACACTGTACCAGCAGATACACTGAGCTACACTGTAACAGCAGATACACTGAGCTACACTGTACCAGCAGATACACTGAGCTACACTGTAGCAGCAGATACACTGACCTACACTGTAGCAGCAGATACACTGACCTACACTGTAGCAGCAGATACACAGAGCTAAACTGTACCAGCAGATACACTGAGCTACACTGTAGCAGCAGATACACTGACCTACACTGTAGCAGCAGATACACAGAGCTAAACTGTACCAGCAGATACACTGAGCTACACTGTAACAGCATATACACTGAGCTACACTGTATCTGAGTACACTGTAGCAACAGATACACTGAGCTACACTGTACCAGCATATACACTGAGCTACACTGTACCAGCATATACACTGAGCTACACTGTACCAGCAGATACACTGAGCTACACTGTCATAGAGCGGTACATTGTTGGTTCGTCTGTAAAATTATTATTAGATACGCTATATTTGTGGCCAAATCATTCATGTAAATGGCCTATTTCACAAATAGCTTACATTATAACTTCAATAATTAATATGAAGCTCGAAGTGTAACGAAATATAGGAAATATATCATAAAAAAAATGTGTCTTACGTATAGCCTGCAGCCGATTGACAACAGCGTTGTACTTGTCAGTCGTGTCAAGAACTGCCAAGATGCCGCCCCTTGCTTGGCACGCGGCTTGCCCGGAGTCCCGGTCAAGGGTGACGTCTGACAACCAAATGCAGCCCGCTGCACCAAGCTTCTCGTAACCAAGGATCTCGTCGCAACCTTCAACCCGATATGTTAATTACATTCAGCTGAAAACTTGAGAAAAAAATTGCAATGAAAGAATTGCCTTGAATGAAGCGTGTAAAATAAATAAAAATACAAATTAACTGCCAAATTCGTCTTCGTTTTAGAATAAAGATATGTTTAAATTTGCAATAACCCCTTATTCACGTAGGGCAACGTGGGGCAGCGCGCCCCCCACTTTTTTTAAACTAAAATTTTGAAGAAGTTTTAATTGATACGAGGTGGTTCTTTGTTTTGTTTAAAGGTGCAACTAATGAGGAATGTATGATGTGAATTAGACGCCTATAGAGTTATTCAATTTTTCATGAAACACTATTTTGTAAAAAGTGTCAAAATGGGCCCATTGCCCCACCCCTGGGGCAATGGGCCCATGGGCTTGGGGCAAGGCGCCCACCCTTGGTCCCTTTACCACAATTGCATATTTTTTGTTTAAAAATGATAAAACAACGCTTTACAGTTAAAAATAAGAAAAATGTAATAAAAAATATGACATTCATTCATTTATTAACAACTCAAAAAATCATATCCATAACTTGAAAAAAATATACTCTTGGCTTAAAAAATCTATCACTGACGTGAAGAAAAATATTTCATTGACATAACATTATACATCCTTGACTTGAAAAAGATATCTTTGCAATAAAAAATTCGTCCTTGACATGAAAAAATGTATCCTTGACTAGAAAAAATATATTTAGTTGATCATTAGCAAAACGTAAATCCGTACACTTCATCCCAGTGAAACTGTCGACCGGCGGTAGAGAACACGGACCAATATCTGCCATACTTAGCGAGAAACCCGCTATGGGCCCGTGACCCGCAGTGGGCTCGCTGCCCCATGTTACCCTACGAAGTTAGGGTAAACTAAATAATATAGAAAAAATATAACTCAGTCCTCACTGCAGTGAGTGACAGAGAGCGCATTTTCTTGTCGACGAAAACGTGAAGTCACGGACGGACAGACGGACGGACAGACAGACGGACATGGCGAGCACAATAGTGCATTTTTTCCATAAATGATAAAATGCGCTAAAAATACGGACGGTTTTAAAAGTATAAATGAATACTTTGGTACCTGAGTCGACCATGCCGCGGATGAGGAAACTGTAGCGGGTTGACCTAATATTCCTCGAGTCAAATTATAATAGATATCAACAATAATTAAAATAAAATCTGATTTAAAAAAAATTTACAAATAACAGAGGACAAATGGTAAAAATATAACTCAGTACTCACTGCAGTGAGTGACAGAGAGCGCATTTTCTCGTCGACGAAAACGTCAGGTCACGGACGGGCAGACTGACAGACAGACGAACGAACAAGCGGACATGGCGAGCACAATAGTGCATTTTTTTCATAAATGAGAAAATGCGCTAAATAATAAGGACTTTTTTAAAAATTATGAATGAATACTTTCGCACCCGAGTCGACCCTGCCGCGGATGAGGGCGGTGTAGCCGGTGTAGTTGGCGAGGCCGGACGGCACCTGTGGCTGCGTGGCTATGTGGCACACGCCGGGTGTGCCGATGGCGAGGGTGGCCGATGTGGCGTACATGGGGCCGTATGCAACACCGTAGCATGTGGCTGAGGTGCGGCAAGATGTGACACATTGACCTGTCGGTATGTTGGTAGAAGATGCCTATTGAATATTTAATGATTTGGGAAATTAAAATGAAATTTAAATGAATTATCTGAACAATATTTAATACGTCAAGTAAAAGTCAGCGCGAGCGTGACCGAAACATATAATCTAGTATACCAAGGATAGAATTTACCTAACATAGCGTATCCAGTCCGACGGTAAATAAACTTCCTTTTTTATAACCTACAGTCATATATTATCATTTAAATTTGTCTCGGAACAATAATTCCTGATTTTTTTTTCTAAAAAGTCAATAAAACACTGTGACAAGACAGTACATCAACACAGACCTGTATGAGCACTGAGTTCTTCTTCAAATACCAGTAGCCTCATTATCTTAGCCTATTTGCTAGATCGATCGAGTAATCTTCTAAGGTTGAATAGCCAACGTTCCAACAAAGAATAATCAAGCCACGCTTGATTGACAAAGAAGAAATCAACGAACTACACTCATTCACAGATTCGTATTCGTTGAACAGATTTACTCAGGGCACACAATACGCTCGGCAAAGCCAGCCTCGTAAGCCCAAGGCACCTCTAATAATTCTTAGTTAATGCCCAACGAAGGTATACTGAACTATATTCATCAAGATCATTTCGTCGATAACCTATTTATCAGACGCAGAAATATGTTAAACTGCGACTGCAGTGAATAAGATTGCGGCTGAATATGGACAAGCGTGCAAGCTCATGTGATGGATGACGATCAAGACTGTTATTCACTAAAATTTGTATTCTTCAGAGGAATGATAATGTTGAGAATAACGTACAGGGTTGGTTGTCCGCATATAACTGAACATTAATTTTTAATTCAATGTGAAGAATATTATTTTATGTTACTGCTTAAACCTTCAGATATTTCGAGCGTTATTTCATTTTTTTAGGAAAATTCTGGATTCTGATTGATTTATAAAATCAATCAAATCATCGTGTAGAACATCCAAGGCGGTGATTATACTTTATTATCATTATCATTTCATATCAGATCAATGCATTGCGGTTGTAAAATGTCAGCGACATGAACACTTAAATGTCGAATGAACATTTATACGTAGAAATATAGACTCGAAAATTTTAATAAAATTTGAAAATTGATGCATAGACATAAATACACAAAAAGTTACCTGAGCTATTTGTATCAATATTCACACAGAGATTTTATAGACTCTGTCACACTCACATAAAGCAGGGGTCTACGTGTACTCACACAAAGCAGGGGTCTACGTGTACTCACACAAAGCAGGGGTCTACGTGTACTCACACAAGGTAGAGGTCTACGTGTACTCACACAAAGCAGGGGTCTACGTGTACTCACACAAAGCAGGGTCTACGTGTACTCACACAAAGCAGGGGTCTACGTGTACTCACACAAAGCAGGGGTCTACGTGTACTCACACAAAGCAGGGGTCTACGTGTACTCACACAAAGTAGATGTCTGCTTGTAGTCCACGACGTAGCTGGTCTGCAGCCTCTTGTCTCTGAATGCAGAGTATTGAGTTCTAGGGTCTGTTAGACCTCCCAAGACCCCGCCCAACGTCACAAACAACAACAAAACATGCATTTTTTCTCTCTGCATTCTTTAACTTTAATTTATTCAATTCTTTTCACAGTAAATTATTTTTTCGAAGATGGACCGAGATAATTAGTGGGTTACTATCATGCGATTATTAATTATAATAAATGTCTGCATGACAGTTAACAAAAACTATCTATACATGAGTCCATTATTAGAATAATTAATATAATAAGAATTATTATTTATTTCGTGCTGTGGGAAATGTTGGTGCTATTTATATCAGGTTGATTTGGAATTATTCTATTGATTATAACAAAAAATGTATGACACGTATTAACATTCATTTCCTAACCAAACCCATCAGTATGAGGGAAACTCATAGGCTTGTTTATTACACTTACTAATCAATTAGGGGTAAGTGAAGCCTTATTTTATTGACAATGAAATCAACTTAGAATAAACCTATCATTGATTCCCAATAACGATTTTTACGACAAACATTAATACAAAAGCGCCACCAAACTACCTGAACAAATAGAATTAAATTCATCAATGAACAGAATTTAACCTTTTCAACGATGTCTGTAAATTTGAACAACTTCAACGATATTTTTACCGGTGATCGACACGAAAATATCTGTAAATTTAAACAATTTCAACGATATTTCTACCGGTGATCGCACACGAAAATATCTGTAAATTTGAACAATTTCAACGATATTTCTACCGGTGATCGCACACGA